CCATTTTCCCAGATGTTTCAAACGAATGTTTTAGAGGGTTTTATTTTCATTTATTGTCTTTTCTAATTGTGGCATAGGCCTATCTGACTATGTCCAGTGTAAACAAATGGGTTGTAGGACGACACTGTTAGCGCACGAATTAATTTCTATAATGGAAAATTTATCAAAATGTTTGTCGTTATTTTCCTCGTTATCTATATTATTTTCGTTTCCAGATTTTGGGAGTTAGCCAAAAATACTGCACAGTAAAAGCTGTAAACAAATCATTATTATCATTAATGCGTTGTTTATGTAACACCTAATTGCTTGGCTAGACACACGTCAGTGTCTTTTACTTAAAAGGAAGGCTCGTAAACATTAATTTCACCATCGTTCATACAAGCAGATCAACCGGCAGACAAATTAATGCCACCATTATGGAAGAAGAGAGAGACATTGAGACTGGAGAGAATTACTGGCACGAGTATTGACCGGAGGTGTTCAAGAGATACGCATTCAATTTTGATCTAAGTTAAAGGAATACTTTAAAACAAAACTACACAATTCTCTCTGTCTCACTAAATGCGTATATGGACGCGCTCGGTAACACACATATACCTGCTTGCAAGCACGCTAATTATGCAGAAGTAAGAATGCTCTCCCTCGCACTCTCCAAGTTACACATCATAAGATAATCGTTAATCGAACATTCTAATTAATGGTAGAAATCACACTTATTGAATTAGTCGACCAGGTCGAGATGTTAAAGGTGTAGAGAGGTGGGGGGAGAGGGGGGGGCAGGTACCTGGTTATCTTAACCGGCCAAGATATACCAACATGTTGATGCTTGTTGCATACCAATAAAAAGCTTATTTCAACAGCTATTTATTTCATATCATTATTTTCTTACGTAATGGTTACGTAAGGAGATATAACACTCAATAGGTTTCCTTAGCCTGATCTTTATACCTTAAAAATTAAAAGTCCACTAAACATACACGTTTTGACAGCATTGTTCATTATCCCCCCCCTTTGGCATCAACAGAAATGTGCCACAAATCTTTACTGTGAACTATTACGTAATAAAAATAATGATATGAAATTATACGCTGTTGTAATAAGCTGTTTATTGATATGCAACATGTCGGTATATCCTGGGCGGTTATGAAGATAGCCACGTTCCTGGCACCCCGTCTACGCCTTTAAGATGAAAAGGACTGTTGTATAGAGGCTAGAAGCTGTATAGAGGCTAGTCAGGTTTGGCGTCTTATTTCTCGTAAAAAAAGTATTTCGTTGATTATCTAACTGGCTCCAAGGTCCAATTTTCAGAGACCTCCAATTAAATTGTAGCGCCTTAATGTTGTTCACAAATCCTCTTGGAGACTCGTCTGTTTTCTTTTTTTTTTCTTCCCTGGGGTGCTGGGAGATATATAGAAGTTTAATGGCCGAACTGACAATGATTTCAAACACAAAAAGATTATGTATACTGAACAGAAATAGGTCATCGGTACACTGAATTTTCATGTTTAGTTTTTCCTGGGCAGCCAACTGAAGCCTGTTGAAGAGGCTATCGGCATTGGTGCCCCTTACCAAGACAGTTGAGAGAAACACAACAAACGCCAACCTCAAGTTACCGCTGTCTTGATTAACCCTCGTCTTCATTTACCTCAGGCCGAGATAAAACAAACACAAAGAAAGCTCTCAATAAATTAATGTGGAGCACGTTTGAATTCACCTGCTGCCACGGTTAAAGGACAGGATTGAGGAAATGATAAACTTTTTGTGAAGTTCCATTTTTGCTGAAATAAATTTCAATGACCATCATTTTATATACATATAGAATTTTCATGACAATGATGACTAGTTTTAATACGTAATAATGCTAAAACATTTTATCCTATGAATATTGTCATTTGATGATAATAACACAACAAATTTATAACATATTTAATACCATTTTATTCAATAGAATGGCTGAAGAAAGGATCAATGAAAATGACCCTCATCTTTTATACATTTTACATTTCTATATCCCCACTTTCATAGGCTGAAATGTATCCAAACAGCCCATAAACTTAGGGAGGACTCCCTCTGTACAAGAATTCTCAAACAGTACAACTGTGTAGCTTTTAATGAAGGCCCAACCCGCAGTTCATTAAAAAATATAGTTCATATATTTACACTGTACAACAGTAAATTGACATTTAAAAGAATGTCAAAGTTTTGTAATTGAAATTATTTAAATAATATAGTTCACAATAATCTATTTAAAATAAGGTCGTACTGACCTCTAAGACCAATAGTGTTTTCAATGTTAAAGAGATAAAGAAAATAACTTCCAAAGCAAGATATGGAGACATTATAATGGGAATCAACCAGCTCATGGCAACAGTTGCCATAGAAATGGATATCAATGAATGAAATCGGTTGACAAAAAGTCTGAGTATGTGTGAATTGATTAATTTCAGAATAAGGCTTCAAGTTACAAAGGTGTACCAAAGACATGGGTGTATATTCTACGTAACTACGATTACAAACAATGCACTTAAAGAAGCTAATATATGTGTTAGGGTTAGAGACTCGTAGCAGGCATGTAGATATTCTTAGTACCTATTTCCTCTATCTGTTTTAGCACCTAAGTATGACTTAAATCTGAAGACTAGTGGTTTTCTTGCACATTAGACAAAACCTGAACACACATTATGACTGAAATTTAAATGGCTATCTAAATGGAATACTGACAAACACATATGGATCATTTCTTGTCCTTGGAGAGTTGCTCCTTTTTAAAAATAGAAAACAATACAGCTATTTGTTAAAATTTACTTACATTTCTTTTGAGAACATACAAAACTGTTCTGTTGTTCACTCAAACAACACCACCAGTGTTTAACCAAACCTACACATACAATGGTGTTTCTATTACAGTCAGATGCCATATCAAGAAGACAATACCTGGAGTATTGTGACAAAGAAGAAAACATCTCCAAGAGGACACCATCAACAACAACAACAAAAAGGTAAATCATATAAGGAAAACAATTGTCAAATACGTTACCTTTACTGGGATATGTTGAATTAGTTGTGAAATAGTTCACTGAAGCCTGTTCAAAAAACATTGTAGGTTGGACTTTCACTCTATAGTATAGAATCAACTACTAAGGTGAGACACAGACACCTAAGAGCATTCTGATGAAGACAATAACAAGCATAATTAGAAATCATACCTAAATTTTTAATTCTGCAGTGCAAGATGACCTTATGCTTATTGCGGTTGACTGTATTAGAAATTTAATTTGGTTAAATGAAAGTGGACTTTTGCCAAGAGTTGGGCATACAAAGAATTTCAATTTTGAGAAGTCGGCAACACACCTGCATTAAAACATCAATTTATCTAGTCATTGTTTTTAATTAAGACAATTTTGACTTTACTAATCATTTACTGTAAGAAATATGAAAGTGAAAATACCTTTTACTTTGCAACAGCGAGTAGGAAAAAAAAACAACAAAAAACAAAAGCAGTATCTATTTCACACAGGTTGTAATATGATATGGGTACTGCTTAGAGCAGGGCAAATGCAGTAGTTGCGTCATTGCATTGAATGTGAGTGTTTCCCGTCTAGAAATAGGTCAAATCTACAGCCTCTCTGAGGAGAAGTAGTAGAAATGTGTGTTGAAGGCAACGTGTGCATGTCTGTGTGCATGTGTGTGTGTGCGTGCACTTGTGTGTGTGTGTGTGCATACTAGAACAAATTGCACTGTTTTCATCTCAATATAAATTACAATGTAAAAATGTAGGTTACTATGTACAATATAATATAATTGTATACAAAATATTCATCTGAAGGTATCTGCAACAACACTAAGTCCAGCAGATATCACCACCTTCAGTTAGTGCAATGGCCTCATTCAGTATGTGCGTGATTGGTCAGATTTATCAGACTGCTAGCCCCTTCCTCTGAAGGGGTAAGAGGCACTGCAGTTAATCCCCTCTCTACAGATGCCTATCCCCTGAATTCTTCACTCTCGGGGTACCTGTGAACCAGACAGCTTCACTGCCATTTCAAGGTGATTTTATAGTTTTACCACAGATTCCACATCTAACAAATTTCTGCACTACCATACCATTACATTGTGTTTTAGCACATGTATAAATACAGGTTTCCAGTCTATGCTACCAATGAGTCCTGGCGTCTGTCATTCAAGGTAAATGACTGAACACAGTCCTTTTTTTCATTTATTATAATTACATACTATTGTTTTTAACTCCTAGACTTAAGAGTAAAAGATATTTTTATAGCTGTTTTTTTTTTTATTCAAATGAATGTGACAACTGTCAAAATATAAGATTGAAGGAGGAATATATCACCTCATGAAAAGGAGACAAAGAAACCTGAACTTTTTTTTTATGCCAGACAGAAAAACCTGTAAATATGTCCCAAAACACAAGATATAATGGTATGGTTGTGTAAAATAGCGGTGGGTTGTGCAGAAAATAATAAGATATGAAGAACATGTAATGCTAATAATCACGTGCAGCAGTTAACCAGCCTGACTCTTCTCTCTCCTGATTTTACCTCCATGTCATATTTGAACAATGCATAGTAAAGGGCACTTGGCTATGCTTCTGTCCTTCCACACAGGTTCAGTCATGGTGCATTCTGTTTCCATTGCACCCTATTTTGTGCTCAAGTAAGCTCCCAGTTGTTAAATCCCTGCCATATATATCAAAATAAATATATCCTCCACTCTGTCTTATAACCCGTGGTTTGTGAACTCCTGTCTGTGGTTACATCCCTGACATTTTCTCTTTTCTGTCACATCTTACATCAAGATGCATACAATGAAAAATCCCTCCGCAATTTTCCTTCCTGGCAGTTCCAATCTATTCCACTAAAATGCAGAATATTTTGCTCAATTTAAGCAATCATATTTTTTGCGTAGATTTCTTGTGTCGTAAAATACTTTTGGTAGCATTCTGTGGGTACAGACTGTGGCAGTGCTGTCTAGGAGGTGGGGGGGGGGGGGATCGGTGGGATCAGGGAAGAGGCTGTTTTCAGGGTGGGGAGTGGGAGGTAGGCAACAACCCATAAGCCACACTGTTATGCAATACGATTATTTTCCCTGCAATTGCAATGCTGATATAAGTCATACATCAACAAGTCATAGTAAATCCAAGCTGTGTGATATTTCTTTTCAGACTGCAGATGGTAAATCCTATGGGTTCTCCTTACATATGCCATCAAATTATGTACCATATCACTGGTTGTATTCCCAGGTACACCTCATATCACCTCTTCACGTTTAATAAAACTTCTATCCAACACGGACATGAAGTTATAAACTGTCTTGAGTAACTCGGTCCCCAGCCTTTAGCAAAACTGATCTGAATAGAGTTTGGGTTGTATGGGCCATCAGACGTAGGCCGTCGAGTCTGTTCCAAAAGGTGCGATAAATCATAATCAAACATTTTCACAGCATATCCAGGTAACACTTTATGTACCATCAACGTCCGCACACAGGGAGGATCCAGCGTTGGTGAGTTGACAAACACTGGGTATTCAGAGCGATTGTACAACCACACTCCGTCCCCCTCTTTACTCAATGTCACACCAATGCCCACTTTGTTTCGAGTTCTTTTCACTGAATCCGAAGCAGGAGTCTCACGCTGTAAGACCCCTAGGCACATTCCATCCCCATGAGGTAGTTCTTGAAATATGTTCACAGTTTCCTTGAAAACGGAAAAGAGGCGACCAACTCTTTGCCGCAGCTCCCAGTAGGCTATATGGCACCAGTGCATCCCATGTCCACCACTGGAGAGTGTGTCCCCTGGAATGACAAGACAGCACATTCAGATCAACTATAACTACACACAAGGTGAAGATGATTAATATAAACAACTTGTATCAAAATAAATTCCTTTCTTTTCCACTTATCTTATGTTAAGTTAAAAATACACTGAGTTACTTTCAACAATCCTGTTACAAATATGGAAACTGAATACTAACATCTGTGGGGAATCGAATCAAATCAAGATGGAGCTCTACATGCTTAATCAAAATCCAAATTGCAATATGCCATAAAAACAAGACTGAAGTCAATATTGGACAAATATTGACTCTGGTTAAAGAGGATGTCTTTTAGCTTGGGTATATTACTGTCCCTTACAGGAATTAAAACCTTTCCTCATATAAAGGGGAATTTACTAATTACTTAAACCCTATCTTATACAAAAATACATGTTAAGAAAACAAATTTTATTCCAGTGTTTCTGTTACTATCAATAACTTAAATGTGCCTTTTACAAGCTACTCAAATTTGCAGCTTCAGCTAGTAAAATGTAACTGCAGCTGAATACGGTAACATTGTAACTGGATAGTAAATAGTTGCATTATTAGTGGTAATGTATCAGCAAAGCTATGGGTCAGACTGCATTGGTCATTATTTTAAAGGCAATCAAGTTACAACATTCCTGCTGTAGTCAAAAGACATGATCAATATAACCAGCAACCTGAAGTCAATCAGCAGCTTAATAACAGAAGAAGCTGAGAGAATGAAATCATTGAGGCAGAAATAAACTGCCAACACTGCAACAGTACCAGAGAAAGACCATCTTAGTCTATCCATTGTCTCATCCACAAAATACATCAATAATTGACCAACATCCCCATAGAGTAGTGGATCTCTGAAGTCAGATGGGGTGGTTTGCAAACCTGTAAAAAATAGACTGTTTTCAGGGGCAGATGGAAGCCATCTTCTGGGTCTTTTGGAAGACAGTCAGATATTAAAGTTTACATTGACGGGCATCTAATTTTTTTTTTTTTTTTGACGGTCAAAAATGGAGGATGGATCAACATAGATCATTTGGAAGACTCTCAGAAAATATCCACCCCTGGTTTTGTGTTTTAATTTCACATCAAAGAAATGTCCGACTATACTGGAGTTCTATTTTTCATCACCTCAACCCTCACAAAAATCTTGAATTATTTAGTTTGCTAACTTTCAAATATTCGTTTCATTTTCTTTCCATCCTTTGATACCAGCCCTACAAAAGCCTGTAGGAGAAGTCAATTAGCCATTAGCCTACACCATATAGTCTGCATTCTCTTCACCAGAAGGCTAACTTAAATAAGAAATCAATCTGCATTCTATGTAAAAACAATACACTACAACTGACTGTGACTAATCTTTTGACTGCATACATGAATAGCCCAATGCCCATGCTTGCTGGGCTGGAGTGGATCCAGTGGCATGGCTGGCCTACTATTATAGGCCTTATAAACGGATTGGTCATTTACTAACATTACCCGCAGATCTTATAGCACTAACACCCATATTAATCACATAACCCACAAATTAACCAGCACTACCAGACAGATGAATGTTAAGGCTAGGAATTGCTCTGGTAATAGTAAATACTTTTATGGTGTGTTGGTTAATTTATGGGTTATGTGGTTAATATGGGCATTAGTGCTAAAAGATCTGTGGGTAGTGTTAGTAAACACCTAATCCATTTATAAGACCAGTTGGTTAGGTGATGTTGGCTGGTGGTGCTTTCAAGGTCAGTTTGAAGACATCAGTCATGGAAATGAACGCCTCCTCAAGACAGTATGGTAAAACTTTTAGCATTAAACCAAATAAGAACCAGATCCTATACGCACTACAAACATGTCACTCCTTTAGAGTCTGCATAACTTGGCATCACCTGTTACAGCTACAGGTGTCACAACATTGGACAGTCAATAGCATATTAAGAGAAACATGAAAAGCATTTTTCTAATGTTCAAGATGCAAAAGTTGCAACAGGTTGTCAGGCGCTGCTCTCTCTATTATTTAGTGGAGCACTTATGGGAAGGAAGGAAAAAGAGAGAAATGTCCACTTATCCAATATGTTGCTAAATGAGACACACCAGTACAGTGGGACTCTACTGACCCATATCTTTTCTCTGCCAAAACTTCTACCACCTAGCATCTCAAATCTGAAATGTTGAGGAACTCTCTCTGTGCATGTGTGCATACATGGTGTCAGTTGTGTCTACTTCACCTTAAACTGGAGAGACCAGGTGTAAGGGCCAGTGTTTTAAACCTACCCTAGGTGTCTTTTCATTAGTTTGGAATCAAAACTACCAGTAACAAATCTCACTTCACCAACAGTGTCCATGGCTAGGTACTGGCTGCATCACACAAAGGTCAGACACTAAACTTATTGCCTCTTTTCCAACTGAATTATCTAATAAATATAAGTTCCTGGAGTGTTTATACCTACCTAGGAATCAAAGTAAGGAAAAGCTTTTAGAGCGATTACAATCTGTGACAGTCATGACAGCTGATGTCTTTTTGTGGCTATAATCACATTATGAGAGCACTTCTGTGGCTCCTGCTGCCTAGAGCCTGGCAGACTGCTGACTCCACATCAGCTATGCCAATACTCTCTTACACAAGGCTCCTGCTGCCTAGAGCCTGGCAGACTGCTGACTCCACATCAGCTATGCCAATACTCTCTTACACAAGGCTCCTGCTACATAGAGCCTGGCAGACTGCTGACTCCACATCAGCTATCCCATATACTCTCTTACACAAGGCTTCTGCTGCCTAGAGCCTGGCAGACTTCTGACTCCACATCAGCTATGCCACACGGCTCTTACACACGGCTACTGGCTTCGAGCTAACTACAGCACAGCCCTCTTGAAGATAAAATTATATACGCAACTCTACAAGGTTAAAACTGGAACTTCATTTTCACTCCCATCCATTTATTCTTACCCACAAAATACTATGACTGGAATGGTGCTCTTGATTGAATGGACAAGACATCCCAGACCTTATGGAGGAGGCCCCATTTAACATACCAGTGAACATTGTAGATCACAATATAAATGTCCACATATGCTAATCATCAGAGATGGCATGCTCCATCAGAGATGGCATGCTCGGGGGAATGCTAACAGTAGAAGAGTCCTGGTCTGGCCCTAGACTTATCCCTGTCATTTATAGACTTCACTTACAGCTATGTTTTGTCTATTTTAAGATCTGTCAATGTTGGGTCAGTCTGGGAGTTGGTGGTTAGAGGAGCCAATTTGCTAGCATTAAGAAAAGAATCAAACTACAACTCTAAATTAAGCTACTGATTAGTTTCAATAAAAACTGTCACGTCCACTTTTATATTTACCTATACTTTTATTTTATTTTTTTTTCTTTTTGCACAAATATTGTAAGAAGAATTTTATAAATATTTCGCTTCTCTTCAAACCTTTTATGTCTGATGCAAGGGGATGCAAGTACAAGATAAGATTACTCTGCTAGAATCAGATAAAAATATTCTTTCTTTTGAATTTACGAAACAATACAATTTCCTGATATGACCACCTACATTCCACAACTAAATATTCTATGTAAGATCTAAGAGATGACCTCATGGTTTACTGTATGCATAGGCTGTGTAATGAGTGCACAGATGCCAAAATAATTGACTGAAGTCTATTGATTCTGGGACTCTATAACCATAATAGAGGCCAAAGCTCTGTCTGTTGATGATAAGAAGCTTCATACTGACTGGTCGCTACATCTCCATTAACAGCAAGCGCCTATATGATAGGATGTCTTTGGACTGCGTCTTTGGACTACACGGCCTTTGCTTGCAATCCTATACTTATCTTTCTTTTAAAAAAATCTTAAAACAGAAACCAACTTCAATTCCCCCTCTCTCATCTTTTTTAATGTTTCCCCTCACACTTTCTACACTACCCCACTATCTAACACAAGTAACAAGCTCGTATATATTAAGTGTAACTGCTGGTGTCTTTTTAAGATGAATATTTCCATTAGTGTGTCTTTCCCCAGTTGGCAGCCACCCAGTCTCCTTGAAGAAATGAAATACCACGGCGCATTCAGGGCACTGCAGGTTTCTGACACCCAGAACAGCTACCCTCTCTCCACAACCTCACTCAGCAGTGACCAACTCACAAAGCTCTCATTTGAAATTTGTACATTTGAATTATAGTAACTCTGGTTAAATGCACACTACAAAAGGCTTCATCTTCTTTTCTCGATATATGCTTTCTTATCAAACAGAGTATTTATATCTTTAGAAGTGATCCACAGGGTGTTTCCAGTTTACAAAAAACCCTGACCTGCCAGCCAAGCAAGAGGCAGACTGTTTGCAGCTCAACAACTTGATAAGTGGAAATTGGTTTCACTGGAGCCACTGAGGAACATTCCATGTCTTGTTTGGCCTATCAAAACAGAATTTTCTCTCTTATTTTTTCCCCTTTTTCCAGTTAACGGTCTCAGCTTGGGTAATTTCAACAGTGCTAAATAAAATGGGAATGGAGAGAGGATGCAAAATTATCCAAATCAATTAGATGAAAAGATATGCAACCTTTTCATAAGTATGACTTAATTTTGAAACAAGTGAATTGTTTTTTCTTTTTCTTTTTTTCTACTACTATTTTGGAAGAGGTATGGAATGGAAGAAATCTCCCCTATCTTTTCAAAAAAATATTCATCAAACCTTATAATTTCACTTGACAAGGAACTGTCCCTATTTCTTTTTACTATACACAGTCATAAAACCATGAAATACATAAATGAGGGCCTGGAGAGCCTTGTATACCCCACCCCCATTTCACCCAAACACTCAATTTGTTTCTTTCTGTTGGACAGAGGGGGTAAAGGGTTCAGCACTAATTCCTTCCCATATAAATGATTATATCAAGCACTAAACAAACCCAGCTTATTATCACAATAATCTATATACATTATCTTTTCCCATTTCCATTGAACATCTGTACTCAGGGGGCAAAGAGCCAATTCTTTTGTGGTTTTATGAA